TGGAATTAAAAGGCCGCTCTTTTTGGAAGAAAAATTCAAGCCTTGCTTCAAGATTGGCCAGTTCCCAAGAATGTTCAAGAAGTGCGTCAATTCATCGGTCTTGGTTCACATTACAGGCGCTTCATTCGTGGATTCGCAAGCTTGGCAACGCCGTTGACTGATTTGACAAAGGGAACGGGAACAAAGACGCGTCCTGTTGTGTGGACTCCGGAGTGTCAAGCCGCTTTTGAGGAAATCAAATCCCGCATGATCTCTGCCCCTATTTTGCAACATCCCAATCCTGATGCTCCATTTGTCATTGAAACGGATGCGTCTGATTTTGGTGTCGGTGGCGTGTTGCTGCAAAAGGGGGAGAATGATAGCTTGATGCATCCACTCGCTTTCACATCCAAGAAGTTGTCGCAAGAGGAACGCAATTATCCAGCTCAAGAACGTGAACTTTTGGCTATCCTGCATGCATTAAGAGTTTGGCGTTGTTTTGTTGAAGGCCGTCCATGTACTGTATACACCGATCATCAACCATTGGAGTACTACAAGACACAAGCCAAACCTACAACTCGTCTCACAAGGTGGATTCAAGAATTTGCACTCTATGATCCTAGCATCAAGTACAAGCCTGGTAGACTGAATCATGTGCCTGATCTTTTGTCTCGTCGTGATGGCCCTGATTGCAAGCCTGCCGAATCAAGTATGGAGCCTGAGTACCTTTATGCTGTGAAATCCGTTCAAGACTCTGAATGGCCCAAGTTTTATGCCAAACCAGAATCAGAATGGCCATCACTTTTCAAGGATCAATTACTCAAGCATCAAGATCAATTTGTGGTGCGTAATGGTGCCGTGTTTCGGAAGGCCAAGGTTGGTGACAAGGTTGAAGAGCGTCGTTTTGTCATGTTTGCACGTCGAGCCGATTTGGTGCAAGATTTTCACAAGTCCGTCGGTCATGCAAGCAAGCTCACAGTGCAAGATTTAATGTGCAAGCGTTGGTGGTGGCCTCAAATGCGTCATGACATCGAGACTTGGTTGGCAGCTTGTCCTCAATGCCAACTAGCAGCAAGACCTGATCGCAGCACACATCATGCACCAATGCGTCCTTTGGATGTTCCTCCTCCTTTTTCAAGATGGCATATTGATTTCATTGGTGAGCTTCCAACTACGTTGCGTGGCAACAGGTGGTTACTTGTCGCGGTGGACTATGCAACCAATTGGACTTGTGCTCGTGCAATACCAGATGCAACAGGTGATGCAATTGCCAAGTTTATTCATGAGGAGCTGGTGTTACCATTTGGATGCATGAATGAACTTTTGTCTGATCGTGGTGCAAATTTCATGTCCAATGTCCTTGCCAACTATCTCGGCCGCCTCAAGATCAAGCATGTTTTCACCTCTGCATTTCATCCAAGAACCAATTCGAAGGTTGAAAGGACCAATGGTATCATCAAGCAGATGCTTCGCAAGTATGTCCATGGCAAGATTCATCGTTGGGATGATTTTGTTCAGCAAACTGTTTTCGCATGTCGTGTTCGCAAGCATCGCACTACTGGTTACAGCCCTTATTTTCTCGTATATGGTCAAGAGCCGAAGTTGCCTGGTGATGAGTTGCCTCCATTTTTGCTTACTGATACCGATGATGCTGACAAGGATCAAGAAATTGCCGTCAAAGGCCGTGTACCTGAAGTCCGTGCATTACGTCAAGCCCGTGCCATAGCTGAACAACGTCTTCAAGACACTGCTGCCAAAGACAAAGCACGTTGGGACGCCATTATGAAGCCGCAAGTTTTCGCCATTGGCGATCATGTCTTAATGAGACATGAGAACAAGCTGAGCCTGGAATACACTTGGAAAGGACCATATCGCATCATCAACAAGAACGCTTCCACTCACATCTACTAGCTGCAAGACCTTAATGGCAACACTTACAATTCTTGGGTACATACAGACCGCCTTCGTCCCATCCATTTCACCACTACACCCACTGATCCATGGTATGATCCAACAATGACTCGTGCTGCTGAACGCCGTGATCTTCAAGCTTCGACCCACTTGCATGTTCTCGAGGACGATCAACATTCTGGAGAGGGGGTATTGTCGCAGCCTTTGGCCGAGCAATCTCTTTTGGCAAGCTACGCCTCATCATCTTCTACTTGCAATCATGCAAAGCCCATTGACACCGCCACACCACCAAACCCATCTTCTACTTCGCCACCTTTGCCAAGCCCATCTCTTTGACTGCGCCCTCCATATCATAGATAGCCAACACATATAAATATCCCCTCATTCTGATAGAATAAAACATCATCTTACGTCTGTACTTTATTCAGTGTACTAGTCTTTCTATCTCTGGCCATTGGTTTACCAGCTCAGATTTGGACCGACAAAGAAGATCCGGTATGTTGCTGCGACAAAAGAACGAGAAATATGTCGTATCACTCTTTTGTTACACGTGATCTTCGATACTTCTTTTGTTACACATTGCTTCGCAGCAGCTTTATTGCTGCGCACATCTTACTGCGCATGCTGCGCAACACTTGTATCATCATCCATCATCATGCTGCGCATACTGCGCCTATCTTTTAGAATAGTATAAATATCCCTTTCTCTTGTATGAATAAACCATATCTTATATTCTTATCTTCAATCAGCAAAAAGCTTCATTCGTCTATTCTCTATTCTGGCCATTGGATTACCAGCACAGATTCGAATACTGTCGTAGTCCCTTTTGTCACACGTGATCTTGAATACTTCTTTTGTTACACATTGCTTCGCAGCAGCTGTATTGCTGCGCAACTCTTTTGCTGCGCTACTACGTTGCTACGCAACATCCATCATCTTGCTGCGCATGCTGCGCCCTTACATTATAGAACAATATAAATACCCCTCTCAATTGTATGAATAAACATTATCTTATATTCTTATCTTCAATCAGCAAAAAGCTTCATTCGTCTATTCTTTATTCTGGCCATTGGATTACCAGCACAGATTCGAATACGACATTTGGTAGCTGATGCAAAGTTTCGATTCATCAAACAACAACCCGTACAAGAACAGACCCAGTTTTCAAGGATATCGTGTGCAAGATAGCGATTCAGAAGAAGAAATTACAACAAGACAGGAGCCCAGCTTTATTGAAGAAACGAACACTATGGAACAAGGACAAGCACAACGTACACCTACCGTGGAAGAGCAAATGGTGATGCTCATGGCCGGCATGCAAAGACTTTTACAACAAGGAAACACCACCTCAAGCAGTTTTACAAGACCGAAGCTCCCTGAACCTGATACCTACCATGGCGATCGTTCTCCAGGCGCTATTGAAAGTTGGATCCGTACGATGGAACGTTACCTGCAATTGACCTCTTTGGATGATCATGAGTGGGTGCCGTTTGCTGTCATGAAGCTACGAGACGAAGCAGAAGAATGGTGGCAACAACGAACGTCTTATGGCTCGGCGATATCTGATTGGGCTGATTTTCGAAAGGAAATCATTGTCGAGTTTCGACCATTGAATGCCACTCAACAAGCTCGCGACAAGTTGGCTGTGTTGCATCAAACCGGCACAGTCATCGATTATGTCGCACAATTTCGTGGCGTACGTATCCAAATCCCGACGATGACCGATGAAGAAGCACTCGACCGTTTTACAAGAGGACTTCAAGATGACATCCGTGCTCATGTGGTGACCCGTTTCCCTTCTACTTCAGCCGAAGCACAACGTATGGCATTGGCTTACGAAAGCGCACGCAACATTCGTCACGAGTTGTTGTCCAACACAACGCCTTCTCGTCAAGATACAAGATCTCCTGAATACTTGCGTTCTGATGGTGTTGCACCCATGGATCTTGATGTCATTCGCAGCCGCCCTTTTCAACAAAGATGGCGCAACAATGGTGGACAACCACGTTTCCGATCGTATCGCCCAACAAGTAGCATGCATGACAAACAATGTTACAATTGTGGTGGTATGGGTCATGTTGCTCGCTTGTGTCCATCACAACCTCATTCGTCATCTCGTGGTGCTGGTCGTGGTCAACAAGCTGGTGATTTAAAAGGCAAAGCGCGGAAGGAGTGAAGAGATCCTTACCGCGCTCTCAAGAATCTCTTCATGTGGTGCAGCAAGATTCGCAAGTCCCAGAAGCAACGCTTATCGATTTGGATGACAAGGATGATCAAGATTCTCAACCGGTGACAACTAGTAGCATAGACCACAATGCCGTTAATCAGGATCAAGCTTACATTGACGCCTTGTATTCAATAAAAGAGACTGAGTTACCTTTGTATTCTATTGTTTGCAATGGTGTTGTCGTAAGTGCCCTGATTGATAGTGGTGCTACATGTTCATATGTCTCGTCACACGTGGTCATGGGTCAAACTCGAAGGAAGGTGCCTGGTCGTGCTGTTGAAACTGCTGGTGGACACACAATGTCGATTGATGAACAAGTGACTTTGGTGTTGGATGCTGCGGGGTACAAGCACAGCGTCGATGCCTTTGTGCTGGATACCAAGTTTGACGTTATCCTCGGACGCGACTGGTTGAAAGCTGTGAATCCAATACCAGCATGGGATGTCGACACTTGGCAAATCAACAAGAATGGTCATCAGTATTTGCTTCGTCCCAAACATGAACGCACCTTTCCCGATTGCCTACCTGCTTTCCGATCGGCAACTACAACGGCATGATCGCCTCAAAAGGATCTCCGAGTTCTATCTTTGCTATGTCAAGCCCTCTGAAAACGTTGACACGGAGTCTATTGATGCATTGCTCAATGAGTTCAAGGACGTGTTTCAAGACCGTTTGCCTGGTTTACCTCGTGAACGAGATGTAGCACATATCATTGACACTGGAGATGCCGAACCAATCAATCGACCACCCTTCAAGATGAGCCCTTTGGAGCTGGACGAGTTGCGCAAACAACTAAAAGAATTGTTAGACTTACGTCTAATTCGCCCTAGCACATCACCTTGGGGGGCACCTGTTCTTTTTGTGCGCAAGAAGTCCGGTGAATTACGCATGTGTATCGATTATCTCGCCATCAACCAAGTTACTCGACGTCATGGTCATCCTTTGCCTCGAATCGATGAATGCTTGGAACGTCTCAGTGGTGCCCAATACTTCACAAGTCTCGATTTGAAAAGTGGATATCATCAACTGCGTATTCGTGATCAAGATGTTCCCAAGACAGCGTTCAACACTCGTTATGGCTCTTATGAATGGCTGGTGGTTCCTTTTGGTCTTCGCAATTCGCCTGCTCTATTCCAGTCCACTATGAATAGAGTGCTCAATGACTTCCTTGATGACTTTGTGATGGTATACCTGGATGATATCTTGATCTACAGCAAGACCAAGGCCGATCACGAGGTGCATGTTCGCAAGGTGTTGCAACGTCTGAGGGATGAGGAGTTGATTGCCAATCTTCGCAAGTGTGAATTCTACAAGACCGAGTTGGAGTTTCTTGGCTTTCAAGTATCTGGAGCGGGAACCTTACCTTCACCAAGCAAGGTCAAGGCGATTCAAGAATGGCCTGTGCCCACCAATGTGCAAGAAGTGAGACAATTCGTTGGTCTTGGATCTCATTATCGTCGTTTCATTCAAGACTTTGCTGCATTGGCGTCTCCATTAACGGACTTGACGAAAGGAACGGTAACCAAGAAAAGAGCAATTGTTTGGTCTGAAGAGTGCCAACGCGCTTTTGACGAGATCAAAGCCCGCATTTCTCAAGCCCCTATTTTGTCACCACCAAATCCGCACAAGCCATACATCATCGAGACGGATGCTTGTGATTATGGTGTGGGAGCAGTGCTATTACAAGAGGGACCCGATGGCGTAAAGCATCCGATTGCGTTCGAATCCAAGAAGTTGTCCGATGAAGAACGATCTTATCCAGCACAAGAAAGGGAGATGCTTGCTATCCTTCATGCATTGAGAGCTTGGCGGTGTTTCATTGAAGGACGTCCTTATACGGTTTTCTCTGACCATAATCCACTCAAGTATTTCCGCACACAAGTTAAGCCTACACCTCGTCTTACACGTTGGATGGCGGAAATTGAGTTGTATGATCCCACCATTTTGTACAAGCCTGGCAAGGAAAACTGTGTTCCGGATTTACTTTCAAGACGTGATGGGCCCGAATGTGTCACCAATGAATCAAGCATGGAGCCGCAATATCTTTATGCTGTCAAGTCTGTACAAGAATCGGATTGGCCCCAATTTTATGCTATGCCGGAGGACAAATGGCCCACAACATACAAGGATCTTCTCATCAAGCACAAGGACAAATTCGTGGTGCGTGACAACCAGGTGTTCAGGATGGTGCGTGTTGGTGACAAGGAAGAAGAACGACGTTACGTTTTGTTTGCTCGGCGTGCCGATCTTGTACGTGATTTTCACTACTCGGTTGGTCATGCTGGTAAAACAACCGTTGTTGATCTTATGGTGAAGCGTTGGTGGTGGCCTAACATGCGAACGGATATTCAAGAATGGTTAGCTTCATGTGCCGAATGCCAATTAGCTGCAAATGCTGACCGCAAGACCCATCATGCACCTATGGCTCCTTTGGATGTTCCTCCTCCTTTCTCACGTTGGCATTTGGATTTTGTTGGCGAATTACCTACAGCCAAGAACGGCAATCGTTGGCTTCTTGTTGCAGTTGATTATGCTACAAATTGGTGTTGTGCACGTGCTGTTCCTGTTGCATCTGGTGAAGCGATCGCTAATTTCATTTACGAAGACTTGGTGTTACCCTTTGGCTGCATGAATGAAATTTTGACCGATCGTGGATCCAACTTCATGTCCAAGGTGTTGGCTGACTATTTGGGTCGACTCAAAGTCAAGCACAAGCTCACTTCAGCCTTCCATCCTCGCATCAATGCCAAGGCAGAACGAACCAATGGTATCTTGAAGCAAATGATCCGCAAGTATGTCCATGGGGAAATCCATCGTTGGGATGAATTTGTACAGCCTGCTCTTTTTTCTTGTCGTATACGCAAACACCGTACCACTGGTTTCAGTCCCTTTTTCCTTGTCTATGGTCAAGATCCTCAACTACCTGGTGATCACTTACGCCCATTTGTTCTCTCACCTTTGGATGACTCCGATGCCACACTGGACCAAGCTGCCCAAGGACGTGTGCCTGCTGTTCGTGAACTTCGTAAAGTGCGTGCCATTGCCGAAAAACGATTGAAGGATAACGCCGCTCTTGACAAGGCCAGGTGGGACTCTATTATGAAACCTCAAGTTTTCGCCATTGGTGATCATGTACTCATGCGACATGAGAACAAGTTCAGCTTGGAGTATAATTGGAAGGGACCATATCGTATCATAGCTCGTCACCTGGATACCCACATTTATCAACTTCAAGATATGAACGGCAACACTTACGCTTCTTGGGTTCACACGGATCGTCTTCAACCTATCCACATCAAGTCTACTATCAACAACCCCCCTTGGTATGACCCCACCGCTTCACGTGCTCAAGCCCGTCAACAGGTTTCACTCAATGCACAATCCTCGTGATTTTTTTCTCTCTCTCTTTCTTTTGGTTTCCTTATTGTCGAGGACGACACATATTCTGGAGGGGGGGTATTGTCGTAGTCCCTTTTGTCACACGTGATCTTGAATACTTCTTTTGTTACACATTGCTTCGCAGCAGCTGTATTGCTGCGCAACTCTTTTGCTGCGCTACTACGTTGCTACGCAACATCCATCATCTTGCTGCGCATGCTGCGCCCTTACATTATAGAACAATATAAATACCCCTCTGAATTGTATGAATAAACATTATCTTATATTCTTATCTTCAATCAGCAAAAAGCTTCATTCGTCTATTCTTTATTCTGGCCATTGGATTACCAGCACAGATTCGAATACGACAATACGACAAATAAAAAAAAGAAACATGGGGTGCAAAAGATAGACCTACCCCAGGGTTCGATCCTACAGCCTCTTCTTCAACAGACAGGTATACTAGCCAACTACACCAAACACCAGAGACATCTGTCGAGTATCGCGCGCGGCGAATTCGAAGCCTTTTTATACTTTTTTCAGACCTACTTTTGCACCAATTTACTCCTATTTTGACTCCCAATACAATTACCCCTGAAAACGCTTCGCGCGAACTACCAACAAACAACCCCCTAAACAAGTTTACAACCCCTGAAGCCGCTACTGAAATAGCATCTCCTGAAGTTACCCCTGACTCAGCTTCACACTCCCTATCGAAAAGGAGACGTTCAGTAGCACCACGCCCATGAGCCCTCCCTATTCCGAAGAAATTTCTATTATCTCAATCAAGTTCCTCGGAATCGGAATCACCAATGTCAAGCTCACGAAAACCCCCTGTTGTTCGTGGATCGGGAACTTCTGTTTCTGATCGTCGCACGCGAGCCACATCAAGATCGCGATCCACATCACCAGCCTCAACACGTGATCGTCAATTAAAGCAACAACAGCTTCCGAAGCCCACTTGGGATGATATCATCCAAAGCTCTGGGTATGATCCTCTGGCAACTTTACAACGACGTCTTGATGCACAAGAAGTAGAAATGGCCAACCGTTTCAAACTCCAAAACGATCAACTCATCCATTTCAACTCACGTCTTGAAGCCTTGCTTCAGGAAAACGAGACTCTACGCCAAGAACTCAAGGATGCACATGGCGAAATTGAAGAGTTAAAGAAACAAGACGCAGCTCTTACAGCCCAACAACAACAACAAGCATCAAAGCCCACACCACCAAAAACCACAACAACAGCATCCGATCCCGATTCAATGCAAGTGGAAGGATCTTTATTAGGACAAGGCCCTGATGGCACTCACGCCTCCAAATATGCCCATGATTTTGTACCTCCTAAGCCTACCACTTTTGCTCAAGTTGCCAAATCAAAGCTAAAGGGTCCACCCATCCCAAGTCGATCCAAGTCGAGAACGCGCTCCACAGCTGGCAAGAAATCCAATGATACCCCAATCTCGGCGGCCACCATTGAATGGGCGAAACGTGGCTTCAAAGACTCCAAGGATGAACCAACAGGATACACCTTTGTATACCTCAAGAACCAAAAGAGAACAAAGCATAGCGAAGTGCGTAGACGACTACGTATCATTGGTGTACCCCAGGCCAGAGTGGTAGATATCCAATTTCCAAGTAAGGGGGTGGTGGGACTATTGATTCACTCATCCTTCGAATCCATTCTTGTAGAGCTACTTACAAAAGCAGAGATTGCCATCATCAACAACTTCGATCCCACAGCAGAAACAGTCATCAACGATCCGGCTTTGGAAGACTTACCAGACTCAGAGAAAAAGATCCATGCCACAGAGGTGTACCAGCAGCGAATGCTACGTATGTGCCTTCACCTACCACAAGCCCACCTAGGTCACAGCATCCTCAAGTTCTTCCACACGCAATCTGGCCCCCATCACATTAGCAAGACCAACCTGGATATCTTCACCAAGAGAAAACCAGCACCAAAGATTCAAAGGAAACCACGCAATGAGGATGATGAGGAGCTCTTCGTGAAGGTCACACCGCCTCAACACAAAAACCAAGAGAACCAAGACAACGATGACCAACCTATGGAAGTTTAAAAGAAAAAAGAAACAAAAAAGAAAAAGAAAGTAGTACAAAAAAAAAGAAAAAAGTTAAAAAGAGAAAAGAGAAAAAAAAGATACTACTGTAATGACTTCATACTTACCAACAATAAGATTCGCAATGTTCAACGCAGGCGGAATCAAGCGATCACCCGACGAACTCACTAAACACTGCAAGAAACACCGCATCGATTTCATCCTTGTCACTGAAATTTACCTCAAAGAGGACCAAAAACTGTATACGGACTGGATTCAACACCATAACTTCGCTAAAGTACCAGGAGAAGCACGACGTGGATTTGGAGGGATATCCCTTCTCATTCGCCCGGACTTCCCATATCACATCCATCCTGAACTTCTACATCGCAGCGACTTTGTACTTTCCTTCACCCTTGGACCATACAAATTCCATGGCGTGTACTTTCCACCTCACACTATGTCCCATGCCGAATTCGTTAACACACTCAATACCTTGCCAATGGATGACCATACCTTTGTGTTTGGTGACTTCAACACACGCCTAGGCACTATCACTGGTGATCATAGAAGGAATCCAAGAGCAGGCGCCTTCACTCAATGGATAACACGACACAGGCCCACCAATTGGAACGCACAACTCGCATATGGCCAATCCACTTATCGACAAAAAGATTGGCATAGCATAATCGACTACGTCGTATCATCATCCAGAAACGTGTCCGGTACAGCATTGGAAATCTTCGACCAAGTATCCCTCAGCTCTGACCACCACGTATGTCGCTTCCGATTCACCGCCAGGACCCCTAAACCTTTGTTGGATCCAGCTAATGCAATACGTCAGCACTGGAAACTTCAAAGGTTGGAGGAAAGAGAAGTGAAAGAACTATACATTACCCAATTCGAATCACATGCCACAGAGATCATCACCGAAGTTGAGGAGTTGAAGACACAAGAACGAGTGGACACACAAGCACTGGAATTAATCGGCACCAAGATCGAAGAAAGCATTCACCTAGCACTGGATAACAGTGTTACCAGAGGGGAGCTGCGTCCGAAACATTGGCGGTGGTTTTGGACTGAAGAAATCCAAGGACTTGCGGATCGGCGCGAACACCACTATCGGCGATGGCGTAATAGTAGGCGAGGCACATTGACAAGAGCAGCAGCATGGCGAGACTATGAGCAAGCACGTGAAGACCTCAAACGTTTGATCCAACAAGAACGAAATCGACATTGGAGGCAATATTGTACAAGGATGGCAACAGCCGACAATAGCGAGACCAATAGCACCATCAAACGAATCAAGATGAACAAGACCAGGAAACAATGCACGTTATCTCATCCTCAAGGACCAAGGCAGGCGGCTGAAATGATGGTAAACCACTTGGTGAACGTTTTTGGCGGAGAGCAAGATCATACATCACGACCACCTAGACATCCTCGAGCACCACCTGATGATGGCGGGGTTGGTTATGTCAACGGGTAGTTGGGCCCTCCCCCCCACCCAAATTTCAAATTCAGTCAGCTCTTTTATTCTG